TGCTGAGAAGTGACATGGGTATTTGCACACCTCAGGAGTTTCCGGTCCATGGTTAGCTCCTTCCCCTAACAGGGTGGCTTTCAGACAAGCTTTTAAACACCTAGCTGGCCCTGAAGAGCCCTAGTGGCTTGTAAGAGTCAGAGCCCTGCTGCACCTGTCACAGGAAGTCGTTCCACTGATTCTCTGGAGCAGCTCGGGAGGTGGGCAGGAGGGGAGAGGATGTTCTCTTGCTCTTTGTCTGTTTCTTGTTTCATCCTCTGCCTAGGCCTGGCCTTGGCCACGCCCTTGGTTGCTGTCTTCCTCTGCTTACATTCAGCTTCCTTCTCCCTTGGGCCACTGGCCTCCTGTTTTCTGCTCTGTCAGAATCCCACAGTCTGACCTGGGCTGGTCTGCCTAGCAGCAGGGAGGCTCTATGGCAGCCACATATCTCCTCTCTCCTGGTCAGGGCTAATCAGGAGGCAGGATTATTGTCCAGTGCAGCCTGGGCTCAGAGGTCTGGCCGCCTGGAATCCTCTGCCTCCTGTGAGCTGCCTGGGTAATACTGACAACAGTAATCCTCCATGTTTGGGGAGGGCTTGACTGTGTGCTGAGGGTTTCCCATCCATTATCCCTACAAATCCTCATGACAGCCAACTGTGCCGATTCAGAAACTGAGGCAGGCGGTCACAGGCTGGGGGTGGGGGCACGGAGTCGGCGTGTGTGCCTTTACTCCCAAACCGCGTGACCACAGCTGACGGCCCCATGGCCACGGCCATTTCATCCTTGTGCCTCAGCTCAAGTGTCCCATGCTCTGGGAAGCCTTCGTGATCCCAGTTGAGCCACACCTTCCATGACACATTCCCAGAGTGCCTTGTCCTGCCATCTGAGCCCTGTGCTGCATGGTGGTATTACGCAGTCGTCAGGCAGGCTTGGCAGACTTTCTTGAGCAGTGAGTGTCTTGTTCACCTTGTCTGCCACCTGGATGGCTCAGTGACTTTGGCTGAAGGGTTGATCCTCTATGAAGCTCCTCCTTGCTGTCCCCAGGTTACTTGTGAAGAGACAGCTGGAACTTCTCCCAGTTAGGCATTAAGGGGTTTGATCATTATGTGTTAGATCATTCGTGTTGATTCTATGTGCTGGCTCCTAACTGAGAGGGAAGGGGGTGCATAGGAAGGCCTGACTGGCCACCACAGGTGAGATTGGGCTTTGGAAGAGGATCAGAGAAACCAAGAGTATCATCTGCCTGGAGGATATGGGAAGGCTTCCTGGAGAGGTGCCTTGAGCCAAATGATAGAGTTTGGGTGGAGTTCAAGCATAGGAAGATATGTGAGGGGAGCCCTCCAGGCTGGAACAGGAGGAGAGGACAGAGTGGGAAGGAGGGGGGACAGGCGTGGGACCTTGAGCAGGCTGTGTTGGCTGGAACACCACAGATGCGTCAGAGAACTTGCGACATTCCCAGTGGAGGATGGGGTGGAGTCAGTCCTGTGGGGCCCTGAATGTTAGGATGGAGATTTTCCTTGGAGAACAGTTGCCAAGCCTGGACAGTGGCATCTTTGAATTCAAAGGCATCTTTGAAAGGGCCTTGAATTCTCAAACTTAAGCAGGAGTCTTCTAATCAGGGTGAAACATATTTTCTTGAAAAGGACTAAGGTTATGAGCCTTTTCAAGAAGGTTAGGGGCTGGCTTTGAGATGCTGGTGCTGTGCACATAAGCGTGAACTACTTGGCTGTACCTTGGCCCATGCAAATTGTGGGCTTCTCACTTTGGCCCCATAGGCCAGCAGCTCCAGCCCAATGAGATCTGGCCTGAGCTCTCACCCTGGAAGCACCATTTGAGGTAGAATGACCAGTACCTCTCAGTTTTCCTAGGACTGTCCCTGTTTTAGCACCGAAAGTCTAGCATCTTGGGAAACCCCTCAGATGCAGGCAAACCGGGGTGCTTGGTCACCCTGGTCTGGAATCCTGACTTGTCAGCTGGCAAGCTGTGCAGCTGGATCACTCTGCAGGGCCACACATAGCCCAGTTACTCTGGGCAGTTGGGAGAGAGGTAGGAGGCAGGAATGTTGGCTTCCAAAAGCTCCTGGTCTGATGAGAGACGATAGAAATATCTGAATCTGAGTGACAGACACTCTTCTAGATACAGTCACAACTCACAGGACAGACACGAAGGCCGCCTCTCCCTCTGCCACCACACAGCAGGTGACAACCCGCATTCTGTCTGTCTCCAGGATGCCTCCCCTTAGGTCTTCCTGAAGCCCACAGCCCTGGAACAGACTGCCCGGATTGGCTCAGGGCTCTGCTGATCAGGCCCGGACACCTGGCCTCACCCTTCAGACATAGTTGTCTCTTCAAAACCCAGGTTTGGGCTTGGCCCTCCCTGGCTCAGAATTTGGGTGACGCCCTGGTGCCCTCAACAGCATTTCTTGAAGATCAGTCATTAGGGTACAACCTTTGTGCTTTTGCCCTTCCTGCATCTCACCATGTACCTTCATTTCTTTACTATTTTCCTTTAAATGGCTCAGTTTTATATGTATTTTATGAGGAAAATCTATATCACCCCTGTAAGCAGAAAGCCACTTGTTCTGAATAGAAGGTAATCATAAAAACAAAAATATAACAATGCTACAGAAGTCTTGATGGTTACAGTTGCCTCCAGAAAGCAGTCACTTTGAGGCCCATGAGGATCATAGGCATTAGGTATTAAAAGTTGAGACTTTCTCTTGATGGAGCCAAAGTCTTGAAAGAGAATTGAAAAGGGAATAACATATCACATGATTCAAGATTGCTTAGTGTCATGGCCAGGAAACAAACTGTCTTCCACCCTTGAAAGCAACAACTCATGTCCCACCTTCCTGAAAACTCTCCCGCCCACCCTTCCCCCATCTCCTGCCACTCTCCAGTTCCCCCAGACCGCCAGCCCCCCAGCACAGTTAACGGGTCTGTGCCTGTGCCCACTGCTCGCTCTCCTCCCCTAGTGAGCCTGAGGAATTGTTCTTTCTAATCCAGCTTAATTGCTGCTTCATCTTTTGCTTTCTTGAGTGCTGCCTCCTGCCCCACCCCACATGTTCCCCTTTGTATTCTCATGGTATTGAGTTTAGACACCAGTAATACCATTAACTGATTAGCTATGGGTTAGGCTTTTACATTATAGCATCTCTAATTTGCTTCATCATCTTGCAAGGTCGATGTTATTATCCAGTGAGGAAACTGAGGCTCAGAGAGCTTGAGCAGCTTCCTCAAAGTGACAGGCTAACTAGCGGCCAGGCCAGGTTTCAAAATGAGATCACGCTGGCCTCATAGTTACCACATTTGACTCACAGTGCCTCTTACACTGACTAATTATCCACTTTGGTTCACTCTGCCCTCAGGCCAAGCTCTTCCTGTATCCCCAGGTTACCTACCACTAAGCCTGTATGTGGTAGGGGCTCCATAAACCTCTGGAATGAACAGAAATGGTCAGGTGGGGATTTCAGTGACCCAGCGCTCACAGCCTGGGCACTGGCTGACCTTGAGCTGCCCGGAAGCTGAGCAGACTGCAGCCTTACAGCTGTTTCCTCCGTAGGTGGGGATAACAGAGGACCCCACAGTCAGGGCCCCACAGGCTGGGTCGAGATCCCAGTCTTCCCTCACGAAAGCCTTCTCAGAAGCTCGTGGCCAGCCCCAGGGAGCTTCCACGCCAGCCACTGAATTTAGTCACAGCTGCAGCCATTCAGGCTCTTTCTGCAGAGGGCCTGCCTGCTTCTCTCCCTGGGCTGTGGTCGGGGTATAGACACCCACAGCGGGCCTCTTGGTCAGGAGGAAGGTGTGTGGAGACTCATTTGCTTCTCACAGCCATTTGGTGAGAAGGAACTTTCCCCCCATTACCACTTCCCCAGGGGCTTAGTTTCCCACCTGAAGGCAGCAAGAGCGCCTCTTGAGGAGGAGGGCACCTTTTTACTTCTTGAGGAAGAGGCTGAAGCAGAACAAGCC